ATATAAGCTTTTGTATAATGGAGTGAAATATAAATTCGAACACAAAAAGTCCACAAAGTTTTAAAAGAAGTTTTATCAACTTGGACTGGAAGGAACAGAAATATAAAATAGAGTCCCTTTGACCCCTAATCTTTAAAAGACAAAAAGCAAATAACAAAGATACTCAGCTGTAAACACAGGTTACTTTAGATGGAAAATAAAGAATGATTCAGAAGGTGGAACCACCTGCCACAGAGAATAATTCCTATGCCACAAGACTGAGTCTTAATCAAGGAAATGTGTGTGTCTGATCAGATTTAGAATTGCCACAGGCTAGTGATCACTGTGTGTCTTGTTTTCCCTGTGTTTGGCTGGGATTATCGGTTATGGTTTTCCTATACCTGATTCACTATTATATGTTGAGTATGTAGGAGAGAAGACTGATAACTTGTCGCAGGTCATCACTGCCAAGAGCAAAGGTAGTCAAGAACCTGTACCATCAGAGCTATACCAGGGAGATTCATGCACACCTGAAACTTGACTTGGAGCTTGTAATAATAGACTGTTTGGAAATCCTGAAGGTATACACAAGTATAATTTGCATTGGAAAAGGATATATTGGGGGACCTGGGTGGCTCAGTCCATTAAGCGTCCAATTTCAGCTTCAGCTCATGATCTCTCATGCTCTGTGAGTTCCACCCCTGCATCCAGCTCCAAGCCTTGAGCCTGCTTCAGATTCTGTCTTTCTCTCTCTCTCTCTCTTTCTCTCTCTCTCTCTCCCTCTCCCCCACTTTCTCTCTCTCTCTCTCAAAAATAAAGCCCAAAGGGCAGATTGTGGCAGATTTTATTTTCCAAAATTGACAGCAAATGTATCTCCCATGAAACATTTTCTTATTACAAAGCACTGTTGACACTCCTTCCATTAAGAAGTGGGGTTCATGTTCTTTCCCCTTGAATCTGAGTAGACATGGAATGAAATAGTACAAGTATAGTCCTTCCTATATCTGTGACTTCTAAGGCTATAGAATAAAAATAATACAGCTTCCACCTGTTTTTATTTTTGTTGTTGTTGTTTTGTTTGTTTTTTTGTTTTGTTTTTTTTCAGATGCTTACTCTCAGAATCTAGCCAGTATGTCATGAGGAAACCAAGCTATCCACGGAGAGGAAAAATGATCCCCAGCCCATAAACCTATCCAAGCTCTAATCTATCACCAACTTGTCAGCTATTTGTGGGCCATCTTGAAAATAGGTCCCCTATCTCCCAATTGAGCAGCCCCAACTCATACCAAGTGGCACAGACAAGCTATCCCTGTCAAATGAACTCTCCAAACTTGCAGATTTGTGAACAAATTAAACGACTGATGTTCCTCCAAGTCACTAAGTTTTGGGGTGGCTTTTTAAATTTTTTAAATGTTTATTCAGTTTTTAAAAAATTTTTTAATGTTTTATTTATTTCTAGGAGAGAGAGAGAGAGAGCGAGCGTGAGCAGGAGAGGGTCAGAGAGAGAAGGAGTCACAGACTCCGAAACAGGCTCCGGGCTCTGAGCTGGCAGTCAGCACAGAGCCCGACGTGGGGCTCAAACCCACGAACCGCGAGATCATGACCTAAGCGAAAGTCGGACACTTAACCAACTAAGCCACCCAGGTGCCCCAATGTTTATTCATTTTTGAGAGACAGAGCATGAATGGGGTAAGTCAGAGAGAAAGGGAGACACAGAATTCGAAGCAAGCTCCAGGCTCTGAGCTATGAACACAGAGCCCAACGTGGGGCTCAAACTCATGGACTATGAGTGAGATATGACCTGAGCTGAAGTTGGGTGCTTAACCAATTGAGTGGGGTGGCGTTTTAAATAGCAATAGATAACTGATACAGATATCATCTACTTCATGAAGTCTTTCCCAAGCTCCCAGGTGAAGTTAAATGCTTCTTTTTTCTATTCCCAAAGTACTTTGTATAACATTAACTTAAGCTTATTACACTCTATTGAAATTAACTATTCACTTGTTTGCTTCCATGTGAGTGCAAGAACAGGCCTGTGCCTTCTGAAGAAATTAGCTCTTCAACTATGTTACTTTTGCCTCATTCTCCCTCTCCTCTCTTTCTGATGCTTTAAATAAACAAATTAGAATTTTTCAGTGCATCCTCCAAGTGTCTTACCTTCATGTTCAAATTTTTCATCTCTGTCTCTCTGTGCAACATTCTGCAAAACTTCTGCCCTAATTTCCAGCTCACTTAATCTCTCTTCAGCTGAATCTAATCTGATGTTACACTTATCCAATATGTTGCAAATCTGGGTATTTTTTTCTCCCAATGTGGGGCTGGAGCTTCATGAGGGTATTACTTTAAATTAAATTAAATTCATTAGTTGAAATTTTTTGGACCATTTAGGTGATAGAAATTTGTGGTACAAATTTGTGTGAGGACCAGTTTGTAGTAATAACACCTCAGGAATTTCCCTCTTTGTTCTTCTCACAACAAATCATCTTTATTTGGGTTGGGGGTTATGGGACAGGATTATTTCTGATTACTGTGAGGTGTAGCCCTTGGAGTCCCAGATCTATGGAGGAAGAACTTCCTAGTAGGTTCTCCATGCTAGACAGGAATAGAGATATTTTTCTGTACACAGACCTTGAAGTTTATGAGGCATTAAGCACAAGAGTTCAACAGCAGATTGAGAAAATTTCCTCAGGACTAAAATGGCTTTAGTAATCCACTGGCTTCCCACCCTCACAAATGTTTTGGCCTGATTATATTTTATTAACCTGGCCCCAATAAGTTTCCTAATTTAAATGTTATTCAATTTGTATAATTTTCCTGATACCTTTTTGGTGCTCTTAAGAAGTTTTTCTTTTCTGGATTTTTAGCCAGCATATTTAACTGTTTTAGCAGAGAAGCCTAATCAACATGTTATCTGGGTCAATGTCTTTTTCATCCCTGTAACCTCAGCATACTGCTTGGCACATGAAGGAGCTCATTTTTGAGTTTTTGGTTTTTAATGAATAAATCTCTGTCTTCTTTGACTCTTTCATTCCTGCCTCCACCACCCTCAACACACCCCTATTTTCTGTGCCCTTTTACATTTTATACATATATGCCTTCCATTTTTCCATATTTCCTGAGCTTTGCTCTGACTTCCCCAGTATTTACTGGTTATCTCTCCTCTGGAAGAGTTTTCATTCTTGTCAACTGCCACATTTTGGGATCAGCACTGTCTTCAGTTTCCGTGACTGCTTCTGATAACTCACTATTCTACTTTTATCTAATATCTGCTGCTCTTCTGAAAATTATGCTATCCTATAACATTGTTTTTCTGATTTTATTGCTACCATATGTGGGCTTCCAGTCATACCTCCACATTTCTTGAGAATTTCAGCCTGTGGTTCACGATTTCAACTATACTTTATCCCCTAATATAATTCAGTATAACATAGTATTTAAGAGTACAGGTTGGACAAACAAATGCAAGTCCCAGATCTATCCCATATTAACACAGAACTGTGGGAAGTTATCTAATATTTCAGTGTCACAGTTTCCTCATTTGTAAAATGATAATAATGATATTATTATCTGATAGCATTGTAAGAATTACATGAGATAAGGCATATAAAGTACTTAGAACAGTATCTGGCACTTAGTAAAATGCTGAATAAATTTTAACCATTTTCATTATGATGCTTTTACCTCATCCTAAAACTCTTCCTTCTGCATGTTTATGATTCATACAACACCCTAGTCTCAATGCTCCTTATTTGTCTATGTCTACAAAATTTCTCAGTTATTATCTAAAATGGCATTTCTGAATTTTACTTTAATCTATCTCAAGATCTACCCCTTCTTTTCAGCCAATGACTTTTCATCTTAACCCAGAAATTTAATACATTTGGAAATACATAGTTCAGAATTTCTCCATATTCATAATAATGCTCTATCTTCTCTCTGGGGGAAGTAATGTCTGGGTCTTTTCAACCCATCCTGTTCTTTCTTCTTCTTTTTATCTTTAATCTCTCCACTAGCAAATTCCTTTAACCTCTAAGTTGACAAAGGCTTACTTATTCTAAAATAAACTAGATATTTCTCCCTTGGACCTCTTTCTTCTCATGTTACTATCATATCTCTTCTAATCTTCTTGAAAGAGTAACCTATACTCACCCCTTTTCCAGTGTCTCACTGTTAACTTCCAGAAATCTGGAAGTTTTATTTCATTGCTTATAAAACTTACTTTTCAAAATTAAGTACCAGTTGGACTGTCAAATCAAAAATGCTTCTATTCAGTTTCTCTTACAACTCCTTTGCAGCATTGAATATATTGACCATCCACTTGAAACATTCCTCCATCATTAGAGTTCATGTTACTATCCTGCATTCTTTCTTACAGGCAGTGGTGAAGTAACAGAAAGCAGATATGATGATAGTCAAATACTCATGTTCAAGAAAGGTCTCCTTATGTATTGAACTTAAATAAGACACTTAGCTCCAATTTCTTTATCAGTAAAATGGGCATAATATTTACTTAATTTGTACACTAATTTATAATGAAAATAAATAAAATAATGGGTCTGAAAATAGCATAGAAGATATAAAATATACAAAGTACTTGAGTACATTTCAATAAACTGAAAATAGGATGCAGAAAAGTATATTAAAAGACTTGCTACCAAATCTGCTATGAAGTTCTAAAGAACCTCAAGGATTTTTTTCTTAAAGAACCCCAAGTTTTGTGTCTGACCTAAACGTTTTTCACTTTTGCAAGGTTTCAAAGTGCCTTCACCAAAGCAGTACAGCTCCTGTCAGGAAGTTAAGAGACATTATATCAAAAACTCTGACTTACTGGGACTCACTTCAAAGTGCAAAAAATGATTAGTATGACTATACTAGGGCACTTTCATGTTTAAAATAGTGTGGAAAATCAAAATATTAATGATACATCTTCACATATACAAGCATGCAAACTGAATTGGTCCAATGTAAGAAATATTACCCATTCTACAAAAAATTTAATATTAAAGAAAAAGAAATATTACCAGTTCTTGGAGAAGGGGCCCTTGCAATTTCTAAGGAGCAAGGTTTCTTTGTAACTGCTATGTCCGTGAGATCACATAGAAAGTTCTCATTTTCTGAAGGAAATGTATCCAGAGAAGCAGATGGTACAATTTCCATAGCGTAATTCCTCTTCTTTGGATAGGACTCCTGAAAGGAAGGAGAAAAAATAAAAATAGCTTTGTGATAAAGACACAGCTTGTTTGATTTATAAAAACTAGAATAGATAATCAGATTCATCAGTTCTTCCAAAACTGATTAAGAGGTGCTGATTCATCTGTTTGAATAAGTTATGTCATCATGTAACCCCAATATTATCAGTGATCTATTTAGACAGTTTGGGTCCCCTGAATTTTTCACTGACATACTAAAGTTCATGAACTTTTGTCATGATCCCTTTTTGTAATATATGACTATTTTCTAGTTTGTGGCATAAACTGTTGTTTCATCAACAGTCATTCCCAAGACTCTACTCCTTTGCCTTCTTCCTAGGGATAGCCAGCCATCTGACTCAATTTTGGTCAGTTAGATAAAAGGGAGGCCTCTGGAAAAATATTTTTCCCCAGAGAAAGGACATGTAATGGGCTCTTTCAGAGCCTTAGCCAACCTCAGGTTCCTCTCTCTGGATGCAATTTTGATGTCTGCACATAGGACAGGCATGTTATGACCATTTAAGATCAAAAAGGTAAATAAGCTAAGAATGGCTAAGAATAGCAACAGAAGGATAAAACAAGACTGGGACATTGACCATATCATTGAGCTACTGAAATAGCTCCAGGACTAGTTAGTCACTACAGAAAAAAAGTCTTGAGTAAAAAGAAAGTTCTTATTGTTTGAGCCATTGCTAATAGGGATTTTTTTTTTTGTCACTTCAGGTTAGGATAAAATTAAAGTCCAATTCTATACTGCTGACTTATTTATGTATTCTAAAAACAATTCATTTCATTTCACCCAATCTTAATTACATATACAAGGCATTAACTGGTCAATAGATATTAATTTGGCATCTATCGTATATACTTAGGACTATGCTAAGTGCTAGAGATTTTTAAAAACTAATAAGGTATAATCCTTGCCCTCAGAAAGTTCACACTAGAGAAGAAAAATAGATACCTGGATAATGAATTTCACTATTAATTATGTTTTGTTTTGGATTTTTTTTGTTTATAAAGCTATCAAAAGAAAAAGAAAAATAAGAAAAAAATAAACTCATTTTCAAAAAATCTCCCAAGATAATGACCCAAGGTCAGTAAAGATTTAGTATAAGCTACTATTTCTTCTATAATGATATTTACAGTACTGTAGAATAAGTGTTCAAGGTCAGTATAATTGCTTTCAGACCATGCCAGACCCTCACACATCAAAGAATCAATTATGTTCACTCTACCCTATTGAAAGCAGGAAATTGGGAGTAATTTATTTTTAACAACAAAGGGTGACAAAGTAGAAAGCATCCAGAGGAAAGCAATCAAGATGGTATATGATTTAAAAATCATGTAACAGATGAAATGATGAAAGGAACTCCTGTGTTCTATCCTGGATAATCCTTAAAGCAGAATCATAGTTTTCTCAACACATATTAAAAGCTATCCCTAAAGAGCCATCTCACAAGGAGGGAATGGGGAAAAGTTGTTATGGGAGACTTATTCCAGCATTCTTAAAGGCAGAACAAAGACCAATATTTATAAGTCAGAAAGGGCAAATCTGAGTCAGAAAAAACAAAAACAAAAAACAAGTTCTATGAACTAATAATATTGCTTATCTTTTAAATAAAAAGACACTAGTGTAACAATAGCTGAAAATACACTAGAAAGCAACAAAAGAAACTCATTACTGTAAATCTTTCATTAGAACTATCTATTGATAACATCATCTATGAAACACATTGTAAACTGAATGTATCAGATGAATGCAAACTCCATGAAGGCTGGAATTTGTCTTGTTCACCACTCTATCCCCAGATTCTAATACAAGTCCTGACACATAGTGGGTGCTCAATAAATATTTATTGATCAAATGAACACTCTCTAATGTCCTTTATAACAAATTTTAACTACCAGCTAGGGAAATGGTTACACCTTGTTCAGATATAAGTCACTTTGCTTTTTAGTTTGGTTATTATTATCAGTTACTGGTATTGTTTACTGTTTTACATGTCAAAAGTGAAAAAAACTGAGTTTATGACAATAATATTACAAAGAGTCATGATATAAAATCCTTAGCTTAACCCCTAGTTCATCCTAAAATCAAAGTAATCAGAACAACTCATTCTTCATGGATTTACTTAGATTGGAATTTTACTCTGTTTCTAAAGAATTATAAAGATTTAATGGCCTTGGAAAATGTTCTGAAATTTAACCACACAGAATGTTACTTTGCTTTCTCCTTAAAAATGAAGTATATTATTTATTACAAAAATATTAGAAAATATAAAGAGAGAAAAAAAAATCACATGAAAACAGAGCATGCTCAAAAAACTAATAGTAACATTTTGGTGTATATCTTCCTAGACGCTTTCCTCTGTAAATGTGTGTGTGGACATGTGGGTGTGTGCAAAGGAAAGAAAAAAATATTTTAAACAAGAATTAAGTACACTCTCTTCTGCTTCCTAAGAAAGAGTCATTACTTCTCATTCAAGAAGGCATACTCAACAAAATATCTGACTATTATCCCTCAACAAAGGGTGGATATGTGATATAATAAAATAATGAAATGAATCTAGGTGTGTCCATTATTCAGTTTAGGACATTACCAATGAAACCCACCCTTCCCTCTCATGCTCCCCTTTCCAATTTCTTCTCCTCTCTCCCTAACCATGGCTAGTATCTGTTCTGAACTTTGTGTTCCATGGACTGTCATTGAAATTTACCTATATATGTAGGAATCGATAAAGAATAAATTGTTCTGTACTATATTCTTTTGACTGTCATAAGAATAGTATAAAATATTCTTGCTCTTCTATGACTTTTTCAATCAATATTATGTTTCTGAGTTTCATTTATTTTCAAAGTGGTACAGGAATTCACTATATAGGTATACAATAATTCATTTACAGATTCTCATGACAGTAGACTTTTAAACATTTCCTAGATGTTTTATTATTAAGCACAACTTGCTATTAACATTTCTCAATGAGTACTTGGGTACAAGTAACCAATGTATGTAGTCATTGGACAAAGAGTCAAGAATAGACACAAGGTGAAGAGAATGAATGAAATCAAGAGTTCTACACATACAGGAGTTTGCAGTAAGAGGTGATCATGAGAACCAAGATGGAATAAATATCCTATAGATTCTATAGAAATCTTGAGGAGGCCACTGCATTTTACCACCCACAGTGGGATAAGGGCTCAAGGGATTTTTCACAAGATCTTAAATTCATATACAGGGCATTAGTTGGTCGACAGATATCAATTGGGCATCTATCATATATACTCAGGACTATACTAAATGCTAATGATTGATATCAAGATATCCTTATATCAAGGTATCATCTATAAATATGTATATGTTTTATATGTAATCCTTTGTAATCTGATATATTATATTAATGATTTGTAATCTAATATGTATTTACTTCTATTAATGCATTCTGAACACATTTCAATGCCAAATATGTGTCTACAAGATAAATTTAAGGTTAAGTCTCAGTATACACATGGTCATTATTTATTTTAGTTAATACTATCATATTGAAATTTTGATGTTTTGCTTTTAAGGGAACATTCTTATGCATATACATTTGTCTACATATTTAACTATTTTCTTTTGAAATAGAATTCCTGTGACAATAGGTATAAACCATATTCTTACATTTAATTGAATCTGTTTCTAGACTTTCTAATTTGTTCCATATGTCAATCTATTTTAGTACCAGAATCACACTGTTTTGATTATTGAAATCTTAAAATTAATTACTATCTGGTAGGATAAGTATCTCCTCATGTTCATATCTGTCAAAACATTCACAATTATCCTCATATTTATTTAAAAAAAAACAATCTTTAAACATTTTGTCAACTTGTCTTCAAATCATTCCCTCTCCTTTATTCCTTGTCAATAAATTGTACTTCCATACACCAGTCACTCAAACAACTGAATGGGGGCTATTCTTCAGTCCTAATTCTTCCTTAATGCTATACCCGGTCAATCCCTAAATCTCTTACTGCATCATTGAATTATACTTCAAACACTTTCATTTCTCTCCAATTCCTGCTACCACCCTACCCCAGGTCATCACTGTATCTCACTTGAACTGCTAGAACAACTTTTCAACTAGTCTCCTTGCCTTCTCTGTTCCTCTTCTGATTGATTCACTTTCAAACATAAGTATAAGGTTATGCTAGTCAGTTATGTCAAAATAAACTCATTTACTTTCATCATAACTTCAAGAGAGAATCAAAATGCTCTAGTCATAGTACATGTTGATTCTTTTTAAACATTTAACATGGCTTCTCATGATATCTCAGAGTTTCTATACTTAGTGATTTCATTAGATGCATTAGTGATTCAGATAACAAGATCTGAAAGAATAAATCAGAGGCTAAACATAATCCCATTAATCTAATAGATAAATGAGGTTAATTTCTAAAGGCATGCTTGTCTATCAACTAGCAAAGCATCATGTTCATGGCAGGACTCTATCAAATACTTACTAAAAATGAATATATAAAATAATTAATATTTTAGTTAGTATTTTGAAGCCTACATCCTCCACTGGAATTAACAGAGGCAAGGACTATGACCATGATTTTCATATAGTATGCCTTAATAAATATGTATCAAATGAATGAAATCTGAAACTATAATTCAGAAACTATCACAGATTTAAATCACTGTAGTAATAGCAATTTACACTTGTTTTATAGTCTGCAAAGTGAATGGTATTTCATTTACCCAGATGATTCTTACTTAGCACTCACAACCATCCTACTAATGTTATTGTATCTCCACCCAGAAACGAAGGCTTGAAATTCTCTGTTCAATATTAAGCATCAGGTTAAGTTTCAGGGCAAGTGAGGTCTTGTGACAGCTAATTTAGTGTTCATATTATTGTATCACAGATAAAAAAGGACTATGAAAAGATCTTTATTGTCAGAACAAAGGGAAAGAAAAAAAAATCCATATATTATTAGGTAGTATATAGCCCT